TTTTGGTTTTTTTTTTTTTTTTTAAAGAATAAATTAGCATTAATTACTGAAGAATGAGGTATGTCCAGACTCTGGGTTTGCCTTTGTGGATGAAACCCTGTTGCTGTTGGAGCGACAGTACCCAGTAATACCAGTCATGGTACAATTTTATGCTGTTTTATGTAATTCATAACAATGTGCATGATGGTCTTGTCACAGTTCACACAGAATCACACGCTGGTCTGCCTCTGTGTCCATCCTTCTCATCATTCATTTCCTCAAGGCTTGTCAGATTTTGAATTGTTTTTTTTTTCTCTCTCTCTCTCTTTCCTCCTCACATAAAACCAAAGCAGAAGAATGCACAGCATCATTTCTAATTTGTACGTTCTAATTCTCCACTGCAAATGGAGGCCATGTCATTGCACAGCATACCTGGTACATTAATTGATGAATCTGTTGAAGTCTCTTGTAGAATGGGAACTTGTTGGATGGATTAAAGAAATGTTTTTGAGGGAGGTATTGCATTGCAAAGCAGTTCTGTTTCTCACTTCAGCACGTTGTCTGGCAGTGTGTAAACAAGTTCTGATAAATTTGATCGCACGTGAGTGGACTCTCTTCTGCCAGCTGTAGATAGTTCTGAAGTTTTGCTTAGATTTCTAAGCAACACTTTCTTTAAAGAGTGAACTAGTATTTGTAATTGTTTGATACAGTAAACAGTGGAACTTTAATAGCATCTTCATATCACACACTAATTCTTGTAAAGAAATGATCTATTACGGCAGGATAAAAATTAAAACTTTTGTCAAGTATTTTCATTTTAAGTAGAAGGGTTTTATTATAGCAAAATGTTTTTTATAATATATATTGAATTAAGTATTCTTTGCTGTAAAGACAAAGTAAGCTGCTGTTAAGATTTTGCCATCAGGAGAGAGGCCAGCTACTGCTGCTTGAGGATGAGATGTTCTCATGTACATGATAGGAAAAGTATGCCTGAGTAAATACTTTTAGGCCAGGAAAGGATCCTAATATTTGGATATTAGGATCCTAGTATTTGACTATCCTGATTTACAACAGTATGAAATAAAAAACCAGGCCTGTTTCTATTCACCTTAGGACGTGTTTCTTGGCATTACGGTCTATTTCTACAGCAGACTATGTGAATCTTGTAAAAACTGTCAGTTTGAGGAGTCCTCCTTTTTGTGGGAGGTGATTGAGAGCAGAATAAGGTTAGAGAGTGCTGCAGACTGCAGCATTCAAGGAGGCAGTTATGTGAAATACATCAGCCCAGCTGGCCTTCCCAATAGCTGGGTGCGTCGGCTCTTAGGTCACACCTGCAGGCAGGAGTTACCCAACTTTGCCTACAATAGCACATTTCATAGAATTATAGAATCGTTTAGGTTGGAAAAGACCTTTAAGAACATCAAGTCCAACCGTTAACCTAGCACTGCCAAGTCTACCACTAAACCATGTCCCTAAGTGCTGCATAAACATGTCTTTTAAATACCTCCAGGGATGGTGACTCAACCACTTCCCTGGGCAGCCTGGTCCAATTCTTGACAACCCTTTCAGTGAAGAAATTTTTCCTAATATCCAATCTAAACCTCCCTGGCACAATTTGAGGCAGTTTCCTCTTGTCCTGTTGTTGCAGAAAGAGTGATAGTGCACTTCACTCATAAGAGAAGCAACAATATACTTTTGTTAACTCACTGTTTTATATCAATAAAGTTCAATGGTAAATGCGACAGTGGTTTAACAAGATTCAATGGCAAGGTACACTTGATTATTTATTGCATGGAGGACAGGGTCAGACAAGCCTGTCAGGGAGACCCTCCCATTGAGTCATGAGGTTCACAAAGGACCCCCTTGCTTTCTAAACTCCTTCTCAGAGAGGAGTCTAAGTGCGGCTGGATCCAATCCTTGTCCCAGCCTTGGTCAACAGTTTATGTCTAAAGGATTATATATGAACAATCAATCCTTTATATCACTTAGCTAAGATTTCAAAGTTTAGCATGCTTTTAGTCACTTACTGAGGACCTGTTGCAGCAAAGAATCTCTCAACCTCGAGGAGTAACCTTGAGAGGCGACCCTACTCAAGGGGAGATCCTGGCGTGCAGCCTGCTGCCATGCAGGAGAGTTCAACAGGCCCTGGGCTGTCCACTATTTATGGAGTAAGATGAATGACTTATAGTCGTATTTGCATACCACAAGACATCTGCGTCGCTGTGCCAGACAGCCCTTGGCTACTGTGTTGCCCTCCATTTCCAAAGTCCAGCACAAGCTGGATGCAGCCATCATGACCCCCACTGGTGGTTATTGTTTATGCTGGGTGGAGGGAGCACGCTGCCACACCTATCGCCTGTTACTTGGGAGAAGAGACCAACACCCACCTTGCTACAACCTCCTTTCAGGTAGTTGTAGAGAGCAAGAAGGTCTCCCCTGAGCTCCTTTTCTCCAAGCTAAACAACCCCAGTTCCCTCAGCCGCTCCTCATAAGACTTGTGCTCCAGACCCCTCACCAGCCTCGTTGCCCTTCTC